ATGATCTTGAAGGGCTGGCCAGATACCAAACAAGAAACACCACATGCCGTACGCGAGTACTGGAACACAAGAGATGAGCTTGCAATCTCTGATGGTATCATCTACAAGGGCATGAGAATTGTTGTGCCACCAAGCATGAGGCGTGACATGCTCGCTTTGATCCATGAGTCCCACATGGGCATCGTCAAGTGCAAGCAAAAGGCACGCGAAGCCTTGTTCTTTCCTGGAATGATGCAACAAATAGAAGAACTGGTCCAAGATTGCAGAGCCTGCAACTCACACCAGAACCAGCAGCCTGCTGAGACACTCAAACCAACGAAGGTACCTGATCTCCCTTGGATCGAGCTGGGATCAGACATATTCCGGTTTGAATTAAGGCCAGCAGTACCTTCTGACCATCGACTACTTCTCCAAATTCATCGAAGTCGACAAACTCGCAGACACAACCAGTGCAACAGTCATTGATGCCTTGAAGTCACAGTTTAGCAGACACAGCATTCCTGAAAAGTTGCGAACAGACAATGGTCCACAATACTCATCTGTAGATTTCAGTGCTTTCTGCAAAGACTACGCAGTCATCCATGTTACCTCTTCTCCCCATCACCCTCAATCCAATGGTGAAGCAGAGCGTGCAGTTCAAACGGTGAAACGCTTGTGGAAGAAACACCTGGTAATGCTTGACTACCGCACAACCCCACTAGCAAGCTGTGACCTGTCACCGGCTCAGCTGCTTATGAGTCGCAGACCTCGAAATAAGCTACCTGTCGCACGCAGTTTACTTCGTCCCAAGGTACATAAGACATCCGACATAAAGCAACGACTTGCCCAAGGTCAGGGCAAACAGCAACACTACTTCAACTAGAAGGCACACGACCTGCCACCATTGAAGTCCGGAGACCCTGTGAGGATGGCACCATTTCCAGGTGCTAAGCAGTGGGTTCCAGCCACGGTCGTAGACCACCACGAAGCACCACGATCATACATAGTTCAGTATGATGGTCGCAAATACCGACGCAATAGGCGACACCTTCGTCTGTCTACCCACCAGGCCAACAAACAACCCCCACCAGCAGTTGTCCCAGATCCTGTTCCAGACACTCCACCCAAACCGCAAACCGTTACCCCTGACCTGACAAGCAAACCTGACCCGAGACCACAACCAGCACACCAAGATGCTAACCCTGCCAAACCACCGTACATCACCCGAAGTGGACAGGTCGTGAAACCTACCGTCCGTATGGATTTGTAAATGGACAGTTACCAATTAAAAGAGCTTTCACATTTATAAATCAAAGAACCTTTCAGTTATAAATCAAGGAGCCATTCACAGTTATATTTCAAAGAGCTTAAGCATAATCACCTTATTGTAAAAACCAAGTGAGATTTCAAACATAGCTCAATAATGCAACTTAGCCACACAACTCAGTTTACCTCTCAGCTTCTGATTTTATTCCAAATTCGAACGTCATCTCATTCTATATAAACCCAAAACAGTTGCTTGGCAACTCTTGTTAATTAAAATGTTCCTTTATATTTTAACGGACACTTATATAGTTAGAGTTCAGCTGTTATTAAAGTTTTGAGTGTTACTACCTTTTGATTGTAAAAAGAAAGGGAGATGTCACATATGGCACTCAGAGGCTCCCGTATATGTTCCACATGTCTTGCATTGAACGTGCAATAAACCATTGCCTCGAAACCCACGCTTGTAACAATTTCTCTGGGAAACGGGCAGGAGTTGGACTGATTGATGTCTGCAACTTAGCCCAACTTCCTGGCTCAGCGTAATTACCCAGTGTAGTAGTTTTTATGTAGTTTCTGCTTTTATTCCACGGCAGTTGGCAAAATTTAGTTTCACCCTCAGTGTGCATGAGTATAAAGTTTAACAACCATATTCGCAGTATAGAGAATATTTAGACATGCATTTGGCAACCCCCTACCTACAATCTATTGAAAGATATCACATGAACTAGACTAACTGTATTACCTCAGTTTCCTCACAAGTCTCCAGATGAAAATTCTGAAGCATTCGCACCAGTGCCATCTTAACCTGAAGAATTACAAACAAAATACGGTGACTGCTGAATGAGACAGATTGTTGAAGATATCCTTCAAAATGTCTCTGCAATGTTAAAAAGATTCTAGCTGTTAATTTGCTGCAAACCTAAAAGTGCTATGAATTTCAAATTCCAACGGAGAAGTTGGAACTGCAACCCATGACTGTTGACACAACTTTTGTAAAAGAGTGGTCACAATTTCATGGTCAGCTTCTCTCATGGAATTTTATAGTGCTGATGAAGTGCAAAGGATGACCATACAAATGGTTTTAAGTGTGGTATCTTGAGTCAACTCTCCACTCGCTATGAGTCTTTACATGGCACGCGCAATCCTGTGATAGCAGGAAAGCATATCAGTAGGTTCAGCTGTTTACAAATAAACATGCAAAAATATTGAATATATGAATATGAAAAGGGCCCAAGTCCACATTTTGGCAAAATTGCATCAAGTTTGTCAAAGTGGTGCTTTGTCATAAGAGTGTGAAAGACAGACAAAAGTTTACTTCCCAAGTTTTTATTTTACTTGGTAAGCAGGTACATATACATGAATGCACATTCTGCTTGCCCAAGTAAAGGACAGGGTTTTTGTAGTTTTTTTCAAAACTTTGTCTTGTGGACTTGGGCCAGTCTCAGTTATTAAATTTCTATGTGTCTTTAACAGGTTATGAGTTGGACTACTTCTTGCCAGGCAGGGAATATCAACAACAAAGACTAACTGACTAGTGGCTGACCTGCAAGAGCGCAAAGCGCATGCCAATGCAGCTGCGTGGTCCAGCACCAAAGGGTAGAAAGGCACAGGGATGGCGCTTCTCACGTTGCTCTGGTGAGAACCTTTGAGAAAAAGGAAACATTTCATGGGGACATGCTCAGCGATTTATTTTCCAGACGTCACTGACATCTTCTTGTATAACATATTAAACTATGGTTCTAATCTTGGAATAGTGAATTTGCCTTCCACATTACACCACTTCTTCCAGACGATATCACATTCCACCTGTGCCTAATGCCAAATGTAACTCTTCCCAACACAGACCTTCTTGTCCAAATTTTGTCATGTGATAGGGGACTCATTATATCATTTGATGGAATTAGAACCTCTGTGAGCACTTTGTAGTTCAGCACACTTTTCTGTCCTCCGCGACAAAATATAAAACAAAATACATCATGAATCCTATCCACTTCCCCATCATTTCCACAAAGTCAATACGACTTTTCCGTTTTCCTTGCAATACATACTATGTTCAAACATTTCATTGCCGATACCTACCCTCCCGAAGTGCTCAGAATAACAATGTGAAATCTGCAAAAAGCAGTAAAATCTCCCCTATTTGTACTGCTTAACAATATGACAAGAAACAAGTTAGTAGAAATATGGGACTATATTTAAAATATATACACCTACATTAACCTGAATGT